ATGGCCAGTGTAAAAAAGCAGCACCTGAAATTAGAGGCTTTTGGGCTAAAATCCTCTAATACTGTTGAGTTAAGATGTTTGCATGCTCTGGCCTGCGTGGCTGGGAGAAGCCTCAGGCAACAAAGCTGCACCTGGTGACCACAAGTTACCACATGTCCCTCTGTGGCCTGAAATAAGAGTCCAGCTAAGTGAAAGCAAGAAGCTCAAAGCACTGATCAAGGGGTTCTGGATGATTTTTGTGTCAGCCGTGTTAGTAAGTTACCAGCCCTTTGTTAGCTATTAACCCCCTCAGCTGAAGGAAACGTATACCCATGTGTCATACAAAATAGCACCTCAGCTTCATGAGGATGGTGGCACGTTGCTCAGATGTTGGACTTGCACCAAAATACCTGAGCTGGAAGCATACATTTCCTTCTGCTGGACTCACTGTGGGGGAAGCAACCAGGCAGAGTTAGATGCCGTATCTAACTGCCGAGTTAGCTCCTAACTGAACCTCAAGTAAAAAATGCAAAGTTGGCAAAGCACCTTCTTTACAGAACCTACAGCATGGCATAGTGTTTAGAATAGTCTATTTGGCATTAAAATCTAGTATTGCAGGAACAGTCTCAGTAAAGGCAGTGGTGGTTTAGCTATTTTTTTTTTTCCAGAAACAGTCAACAGTAAAATACCACTAACTTATAACTGATCTTCTTCAGGCCTAATTGTCTAAGGAGACACAACTGGTACAGATCGAATGCTAGCAGTTTATAAATCAGAACACCTCTGGAAAACACACCTTTCTCCTCCTTTCTTCCCTCTCCTCCAAAAGATCGATCATCCTCTACCATCAGCAAAAGCATGTGAGAAAAGCAGAAAGAGAGGAGACTGTCAGCATCAGAGTCTCTAGAAGACCAAAAATTAAATTGCTGCAAGTTTGTTTTTGAGGCTTTCAGGTTTTTTGTTGTTTTTAGAAGCAGCAGCACAGACATGCTGAGGCACCAAGAAGTGGGAAAATAAGCTGACACCTGAGCAAAGACAAAAGCTTCTTTGGCATTAAAATCAAACCATGCTTCAATATCTGTTTTGTTACTTTGTTTTGCCTTTGAAATTTTTCCAATTGTGAGTCCAAAAGTTCTTCAATTATAAGTTGCGGACAAAGCACCACAGAGACCAGGGCTTCAGTTGTACAGCTTGGCCATAAAACGAAGTTGCTTTCTGATGTTCTGACATATAAAATCAGTGCAATCTGTAAATATACTTCATTTGTATTAATCTGCATAAAGTGAAGACAAATGGATTTCTTGCTTGCATGTCAATTGCAGTTAACATATCTCCCAGATGAAAAGATTTTAAACTCTTTCAGTATAGATTTGCACTTGCTGTGCAAACAGAGCTAAAATATTTCTTAACAGTATTATTCAGGCTTCACAGTGTAAACCCCACTCCTTCCCACAGTTTTACCAACTGCCTGTTCCTGATATCTAGTGTCCAGCCTTCCCCTCCCTTCACAGTACTGCACAGGAAAAAAGACAAGAGAAGAAAATGTCAGGCACAGGAAAACAACGTAACACTTAACAGCAAAACATCAAAAAAGGCACCAGACCCCAAGGGGCTCAGAGGTGGGGCATGTTTAAATTGAAAGAAAAAAAAAGTAGTGCTGCTAAAAAGAAGGGAGGAAAACAGCTGCCCAGAAGAGACAGGAGGCCACGTGAAATAGGACAGAGTGAAACTTAATACAGCCTTGACTTTCAGCTCCTGAAAGCAAAACATCTGAAGAGGCTGACAAGCATCTTTAGAGGCTGCCACTTAAGAGTTTCCTTGCTACTGGGCAAGAAAATTTGGACAGATTGATTTTATTCATATTAAAAAAAAGAAAGGATATTGCCATTAGAAATCAGGCATGACATTACCATGACCATCCCCACACATTTTAACAGTTTGTCAGCTGCTCACACCCCTCCTCCTTCTCGCGGTCTCAATACATCCTTCTAAACATGAGATTCCTCCCATCACTTGGACATACTTGACAGCAGAGCAGCAAGGGGAACTGCTCGCCTCTGCCACACCAGGCGGTTGCAAGTTCACGTGCTAGAAGCTTGCAGGAACTTTCAATCCAACTCCTATAGGTAAGTGCAGAAGACAATCACAGCTAAATAGAAACATCAATCTTTTCCTACATTTAACTTTATGGGGAAAACTTGAAAGTACTGAAGCAGGAAGAAGGGAGGAAGAAAAAAAAAAGAGTCTAGATGTCTTATTTCACTTAATGGACGTAATAGCTCAAGGTTTCCTGGGTCTTCTGCGCAGCTTGTTTAGAGAACGGCAGAGCTGGCACTGGATTTGGTTCCAGTGTCCATTTCATTAGGTGGCTTTGTCTACCTCACTTTTAACAGCAGATGGGCTGCAGAACGATGGTGTTGGAAGGGCCGCTGCAGTGGGGAGTTTTCCAGGGGTGAAAACATTATAGCGATCACTGCACTGAAAGGAAAGCCGAGTAGACAGTGATAGCACATCCATACACAAAACTGCCGTGTCCCCCCGCCACCTCCTGTCCTTTCACCAGCCTACTACCGTCTGTCTTAGCATTGCTCCCTGCTCCAACAGGCTGACAGGTACTGAAAAACGACTGGATTTTTAAGGAACGTTTCCTACTACAATCTCCTAACGGAGAGTAGGAAAGAGGCACCAGAGTGACTGTGAAAGTCTAACCCAGCACTGAGGACCCTGCACGCTTCTGCTGGCCTTTTTTCCTGTTTTGATGAAGTCACGTGGCTTCTTGTAGTATTTACTTTGAAACAATTCTCTAAGTTCAATAAAGTGTCCTAGTGGGAAATGGGACACAGTGGTTATTATTTAGCATTTTGAAAGTCTGAGACTGGAACAAGAAACAATCTGTGACTGTGAGCTGGAAGACGAACCTTTTGGGTCAGGATTGATAAACGATGGGAACACGGAAGAGTGGAACCAGACTTTGCAGATGCTGGATTCCTTTTGTGGACAAGTAAGTAAACAACCCTCAGAGCAGCATCATTCACAAGCACCAGAATGGAGAAACGTGTTCTGTTTGCTTGGAGGTGGATATTGTAGTTATCTGAAGGCACCATTAAAAAAAGTTCCGAAGGATAGCACATATGGCAAGAAGGTTTGTTGTCCCCTTCCCATGCCAGTTGTTAAGTTACAGGCACATGGTCCTTCAGCCAGGAGCTGTACCTTCCCATGACACTCTCAACTTGGCTTACTGTTAACGAATCTCTACAGAGCTTTTGTTAGTGCTACCCTTCTGCTTTCACAATGAATACCAGTTTGAAGAATAACTATGAAAAGCTATGAAATATCTTTTGTTTCCTTTAAAAAAGCTTCTATAATTTCACCAGCATCTGCAGCATCTGGTAGTGTCCGAATCTTTCAGCAGGAGATGCAGATACTTCACAGTGAGAGCTCCATTCTGATTATTTTAGAGTTTATACATAGGAAGATCAAGACACACAATTAACTTATATCAGACTATTAGTGTGGCAAGTTCCATTGCGCTATTCTGAACAGAAGAAAATAGCAGATCTTCCGCAACAACGCTATTTCCTCTTGAAAGACCCAAATCCAGATGAGAAACTCAGTGGAGTGCCTTGCAAAAAACAGTGCAGGATAATCAGACTGCTTATCCTAAGAGGTCCCAACAAGTTAATCCTACAAAAACCCAAGCAGCTGAAAGCTCCTTCCTCCCCACACAGTAACATCCAGTCATCCCAGCATTCAGCGGACGACTGCCAGGCACTCAACTCAAAGTCACAATTTCCAGACCCCTTTCTTCGGCAGCATTAGCATCAATGCCAGACTTCAAAAAAGAACCCCTCCAAGTAACAAGAAAAATCCATCTCTATTGCCACGCGGTCCCACAGCAGAGGCTCCCACCCCTTCCTATAGCACAGTCTCCTAATCTGTGTTCTCAACGATAAGGAAAACATTGAATAAGTAGTGACGTACAATGAAAGCTCATCATATACCATAGCATGTGCTTGTTAGTCCCATATTTCTTCTCTTTCTAAGGCTACAGGAGTGGAAGAACATATGCGGTTTTATCCAGTTGTGCTTTTACACAGATGCTTCTCGGGGGGTGGTGGTGGTGGTGGGTAAAAAACCCGAAGAAAACCGGCATAGAAAGCAACAGCCACTGGTAGATTTGAAAATTTAGCCTAAACCAGCTGAATGCTTTCAGATATTCAATCAAGACACCCTGAGCTACATAACCTTTTAAAGCACCCTTTTAAATAAATTTTTGAAGTTCCAGTCAAAAGCACTTAAGGACGCCTCTCCATTTAAAATAGGAGTCATAGGAGAACGGCAGAGCGAGAGAGCATGCAGTTAAGTGATGCTACACAGTGGAAGGCAAGAAGAACCAGGTTATGGACTACGCGTGGTCCCCTCCTCGCATGCCTGTACACCATGCAGTGTTACTACAGCACACGTTACGAGGACTCGGAATCCAGAGGCAAGTTCCCATCAGTTCGAAATTAAAATGACCAGCACCATTAGAAAACTGAAGGCGGCCTCGGCCCCATGGAGGATCAAGGCAGAGGATTCCTCTGTGACTGGCTAAGGATGGACAGGAGAAGCCAGAATCTCTTTGGCTGGAGGAGCAGAATGGGGAGGAAGCTGCATTTATGGAGCAGTTTGTGAAGCAGCTGCTGGAAGAATTGGCTTTGGGGAAGTTGGATATTTGCACTGCTGACGTAGGATTCAGGAGGAAGGGAGAATGGAGGCAGCAGGAGTAGCTTCCTTGGCTAGCACCAGCAGCGGAAATGCTCCAAGCAGCTAGCACAGTGGGAAGCAAGGATGGGGAAAAAAAAGGAAAAAAAAAAAAAGAATATATATATATAAAGGAAGAAAAGATCTTCACTGCTTATCTAATTAAAAAAAAAAAAAAAAGGAAGGGAAAATAAAAAGAGGAGAGAGAAGCACCAGTCGCAAAGAGTTCACAAGGCTTTTTTTCCTCCTTCCCCCAGCGTCACTGCTCTGGCTCTGACCTTCGGGGCCGGTATTTCCGATGGCCCGTTGATTTCCGCGTAGCCACTGCTGCGGTGAAGCCCACCAAGCAGCACAAGGACGTGGTGCCAAATTTGGCTGTGTCTAGCCAGTTGGGTGTTTCCGTCTTCAGGTACCTCTCAGCTAAATGCAGACTCATCACTACGAACCACAAGACTGAAGCAAACGCATCAATTCTCCGGAGCCTGCAATGCCAAAAAGAAACCCAACAAGACACAAGGTAAGAGTTTAAACACCAATGAACCCCCTTGGTCCTGAGGAAGGAGAGAGAAGGTGGGGAGGGCACACAGACTGAGCAGGTCTCTTACTACGGTTACATCATCTGCAGCCCTTCCCACCGCTGTGGTAAGTACCTGAATTGGTCAGTTCCATTCTCTACCAGATTACAGAGCTGCACAGGGAGCTTTTCATTCACAGTAATTCAAGCTTAAATTGAATGAACCAAGGCACGGATCCAAAGCAACCTCTGCTGTCTCCAGCCAGCCAGCTGGCAACCCAAAGAGTAACAAGGAGAACTGTGCCACCCAGTACTACGTTTGCCATTCTGGCAAATGTTTACCCCCTGGCTCACTGAGTCAAGACAGGGCAAAAGATCTCCAACATAACGCAGTTTTCCTTTAAGTGAAACAGAAGAAAAAAAGCACACCCACCTGATCCGCCCAGCTAAGAACATGGCCAACAGGCAGGTGAACAGCCCAAGGACAGCAACTGCCATCTGGTGATTCTTCCCGTAAGCCCAGGCGGCACTCAGGTTCTCCACCATCTGTTCTGGGAGCAGGTGGAGCAGCTCCCGCCAGCCTGCCACCGTCACGGAAGTGTCATTTTCCAAGTCTGCATGTGAGCTTGTGTCAGTCCTGTTCCGAATGGACACTGGACCAGAGGAGACAGGAGCAGGGACTGCTGCACTGAGTGAGAAGGGGTCGCCTGACCCATACAAGGCCATCAGAACCAGGAACGCACAGCTGAGGAAGGCCAAGAACCGCAGAAATATCACCTGAGCTGGTGTGGTTATGGAAGCAGAAGAGGAAGATGAACATAAATTCTGCAGAGGAAGGGAGAAACACCTTGTCAGAAGCTGAATGAACTGTAGTAAGGTTTTGAAATGGTGCTTTATGAAACACTTCCAGACTGTATGGTTTACTGGACAGTTTTGCTCAAGTCCTTGTAAGTCTCTGTACTTACAACCCCCACAAGGGATGTTGTAGACTAGCAAAGAGCAACAGCAGAGCTATGAGCAGAAGCCAAGGTCAGGCAGGGCAGTGAGGCAAGGAGGTCATAATTCAATTCCCATCATTCCTACTTCTTTTTTTCCCCCTGTACTCCGTAGTTTCCAGCACTGTACTCATAAATTGGCTTCCCTACCTCCCCTATCCTACCTGTCCCACTGTTTTCCCTCCACTCTTCTTATTGTCACATTAGACTTGCCTTCTGGCAATTGCACTGAACGACACCAGCAAGAGGAAAACCTCAAACTAACATCAGGAGCATGTGTGGCAACCATCCTGTGCTCTTTTAAATTTCTGCCATGCACCCAAGCTCCCAGAGTTACAGAGCCCCAAGGCTGCTGCCTTCCTTTCCCAGCAACAAACCCGGGTGCAGAGGTACCTAGTTCTCTGCACTTCCCCCTAAATTCCCTCATCTCTCCCCCCATGTACCTGAGTATAGGTCTTGTCTGTCTCACGGCGTTTGAAATGGTGGCTGAGCAGCAGCGCCCGGAGCTGCCGATTCTGATGTTTTATGTAATACTCCACAGCAGCCTGGCATGGACGGCACAGCTTGTAGGTCTGCTCCAGATGGTGCTTATACACCTCAATCTCTTCATCGTATTTGCCCTGGTGAGAGAACAGGAAAGGAAAAGTAGGTGAGAACTGCAGGTCCCTCACCAGTTATCACGCTTGCTACTGACATGTGCGCAAGGCATGCTTCCAGTCTCCAGAGGAACAGCCCCCTGAAACCAGGCCTCAACAGTGACCAAGCTGGAGGCCAGCGATACAACCAACTTTGCATACAGCTGACCCAGCCTCCGTGTCCCAGAAGAGACAAAACAGCCCTTGGAGAAGGCTGCTGCGGCCCAATTTCAGGACGTTGAATTTCTGTGGCCCAATTTTGCTGTCTTTGTCGAGACCTTATGAACTCAACACAGAAGATGAGACAAAAAACTAGAATTGCTCTTCCTCTCCTCAAATGAGGGGACACAAAATACCTGTTGCCCCTTCACACCACAGTGCTGGAGAAAGAGACAAGCTCCTTCCAAAACTCAGTCCCAGACTCAAAGGCTGTCGCTGTTTGAAGGCCCTGGTGAGATGAGCTCCATAAATCATTAAGAGCACTTGTAAAAACAGACAGCGAGTAGGGCCGAAGGTACGTTTTTCAGCGTCACAATAGTGGACACATCACTTATCACAGAGGCTTCTAGGGCTCTTCCATCTCCACTCCCAGCCTCTATCAAGATCCTTGTACCAAAAGCATACAGCTGAAAGCATGCAGCTTCTTTGGGAGAGGGAAGTAGAAAGATGCATTGTAGCTGCCTGAGGGCTTGCTGCAGCAGTTTCATAGGCTCCATCTGCCGGAATGGAGAAGGAATCACATGGGACTGTGATTCCCATGTGTAGCACTAGGCATGTTCCCACTAGTAGCAGCAGGCTCACCCCTCACTGGACAGGCCAGCAATGCTGAGAGCGGCCACTGCTGTCACTGACACGCATGTCTAACCATGTTGGATAACACAGTCCCATGTTTCTTAGTGGCACAGACACTGCAGTTCACTGAATGCCTAAAAAGGGGCCAAAGGCTGGTGTTACTTGAGCAAGTAAGTAACTTGCCTCCCCTGGCAAGAGGCAGGGACTAGAAATAAAGCTGAAAAAAGGGAATCAGCCAAAGATGTTCTCATCAGACATGATCAAATTTAAATCTATTCCCTGAGAGTCATCCTGATTAAACTCATTACAATTACACAAAGCAGACTGGATTAGGCAACCCAAAGGATGAACGCATCCCACTATAGCGCAGTCTTATAACCCCAAGGCTTGACCATGGTTGAAAGCTAAGGAGTACAGCACTAAATTCTCTGCATGAAACTTCAGGAAGCCATAAAACTGTGAAGGAGAAATCCCACTATCCTATACTCCATACATATTAAGTAATGGGAAGGCCACGAAGTTGCTCAGCAGGAAATCCTGCTGCTGTAACTGTAAAATCCCCTTGCCCTCCTAGGCACAAATGCCTAACCAGGGAGATGATATGGCTGCACAGGATTCCTCTCCCACCCCACTAGTAAAAGCAGAGCAGCACAGCCAAGGCCTCAGTAAAAACAAAATCTATTAAGGCTTCAAGGTGACTAGCGGGCTCTTAGGCCTACCAGATCCTGTAAGCTCAGCTGGGTCAATGGTAAGTACTGGAGTTGTAAGCTGATCTCAGCAATCTGCACGTTTGGTTTTGTGCTCAAGCTTCAACTTCCAGTGTCCATCCAGAACAGGTCATTACATTCTGGCTTTGGAGTAGGATTAGGTAAGTTTGCAACACTGATCGGTAACTTTCTCTGCACTGGAGTGCCACATAGGGCTTCTGAAGACTACTGGAGCATCATTCCATAGCACACTGAAAAATTTCTCTCTCCTGCTTACTAGGCTGCAACATGGAATTAAACAGAGCAGGAATAGCAGATACATGCATGGGAATGCCTTGTACAAACATTCTCCTGTGATGTCAGTCCCTAACGAACACTTACCTCCTCCCTTGGTGAGAATGAAGCCAGCTGTCTGATCTTCGTGGTTTGATGGTTGTTGCATTTCTTGCAAAGCAGAATTTGGCTGCTTACCCACTGTTGCGGTTTGGTAGGATCACAGAAAGTCGTACCACCTGACACAACGTGGTTAAGGTGTTCCATGTACTGAGCAGGGATGGGCTTGTTGTAGTCTCCATTCTGACAAGAAGCAAAAAGGGAGGCAGGAAGGAAAGCAAACATGAGATCATAAAATCAAAGCTAGGTATCCTCTGGTTGATAACAAGATTCCCTAAGCTCTGTCAGGAGCTCTACACTCCATGCGTTCACCTATGTAACAAAAGAAATAAGTAAAAAAAAAAAAAAGAGACAAAATGCTTCAAATCTTCTCTCCCCTCCACTGTTCTGTACACCTACTGCAAGCAGGTGGTGGTGGTGGATTTCGGCTTAAGACAGGCTTTGTTATTTAATACCCTAAATAAAGCAATTCAGCTGTTCCAAAATACAAAACCAGAGAAGAATTGTTCCATATATTAAAAAAAGATTCTTAAGAGATATTGGTGAAAATGTCAAGGCCCTTTTTGCCCTTTGAAGCAAGAGAGGAAAATTTGTCTTTGTCATTCTATGTCAGCACATCCCAGGACAGTGGATTCTTTCTCAAATTTGATCAAGTGATCAGCTGCTGAGTTCACAGGTGCTCAGCACAGAGCTGCCAGCTGTCAAACTGCTGGATATTTATCTGTACTGGGCCTGTATTGTCTTCAATGAGGAGCAGGGTTTTCCCACAAGCACTGTTCCACAGGGCATGCACCCTCACAGCCACCCTTCAAGCAATTTATCGCAGTACCTCTTGGAACCCATTGTACTGCTCACAGTTGGGGCAGTCCCAGCAGTTGCGATTCCCATATGGCACTACCGTGTCCTGATTGCAGAACCAGCAGTTCACTGTCACGTGTGTGGGCTTCTTCCTGTTAGGAAAGAAAATGTGTCAGGCATCAACATTGAATTCAACTGATGTAGAGGAAGGCAATGGCTTTCAAACAGGGAAATGCAAGAGAGGCTGGAATAACAATCAATCTGCCCATTCAGTATGTTCAACAATATGACTCAGAGTAGTCATTTTAGCAATGAAAAGATGGACTATTAAAGTAGAAATAAATTCTGCCTGATGCTTGTATCTCTTTGTGCTAGTACCATGGACATGCCAGAACTTTAGTAACAACCTTGTGAATAACCCACTTTACGGTTTTTCAGAGGCATACTTGGGGGTGCAAGTCCTCTCCATAATCAGCAGTGTTAATATATGCAAAGGGTGCAGTAGAGTCGCTGCTTAATACACAGGATTCTGGGAAACAGAAGTTACGATCCACAAGAACTGCATATGATGGTACTCAGAAACCTAGGAAATGGGCTCATGGTTAGTTTTATCTGCCCTGCTCGTTAGAAAGTTTTTCAAGGACAAGGGTATATCAAATTATCCCAAGGTTCAGGCATTGTAAATAGGTGTTCCTTCACAGCGTTAGATACATAAGGAATTGAGGAATCAACATGTCTTCCCCAGTTTTTATGCACTGGAACTGAAGAGACAAAGACGAGAGACCTAGACCCATGAGCCCCTTGTTTTTTAAAACAATCCTGTTAAAACAACAGTCACTACAAGAGAAACAGCTGTGACGTGGCCCCATTGCAACAGGTTGTGACAGATGTTTGAGCAAAGAACTTCAGTGGCCTGGCCCTTGAGCCTGCCTGCTAAAGAAGGTCTGCATTTGTCTTTAAACTCGGTGCGATACCCAAGAGGAAGCTTTCTGGCAGGTCAAGGCAACACAGCCCAGCTGTCTGGGTTTATCAGAACCAGTCCCAGTCACAACTCTGAGGGAGAGCAGCTGTTCAGGCAAAGCCCAGGCAGGGACTCACTATGGCAGCTATGCAGACAGATGGACCCAGCTGCCACCAGCCCTGTTTGCTGCTTAACTCCACCGAGTAGCCAGCGTGCCTACCGCTGGACAGCTTCTAAAGCAGCAGCGAAAGCAACTGAGCAAGGGAGGCTCACTGAGGGCCTGGAAAGCAAGAAACAGCAGCCAAAGTGCTCACCAGCTGAGAGCAAATTCTCTTCTTCCTGCTCTAGGAAGCCTTCTCTGCTGCTACAATATTCTGTCGTGAAACATCTTCTGAACGCTGCAGAAATGTTTGTGGCACCCTGCAACCAAACAGGCAGGTGGTTCTCCCCTTAGTTAAGCTGGCTTCTCTCTCAGCCATCACATTTGTAGCTGGATGCCTACAATTAAGACTATTCCCCACTCCCATTTCCACAGACCATGTCTTGAAACTTGGTTCACAAAGTATCAAACCCTCAAGTGAGGCTTGGGCCTCCTGTCTAAGTACTAATGACGAGGATAAGCTTGAAATGAAGCACCAGAAAGAAGCCTAAAAAGCCAGAGTGCACAGAGGATTCCCTGCCAGATGCTGAAAGAAAATGGCTGGAGCTACTAGGGTGACAGATTCTCATCTCAAAATAGATGCATACACCCACACCCCTCTTAAAATGAATATTCACTGCTCAACTTTGTTCATTGCCAAGGGGGCTCAAAACAGTAAGTGATCCGAGTTAAAAATACCACCATTGAAACGAACAGGCAACAAAAAAAAAAAAGTTTAAACCAGACAAATCTGGGCCGCTAGTACAAATTATCCATGAGCTACCACTGTCCAAAAGCCAAGCAAACCACATGTCAAAACAGCCGTATGAAGGATGGACAGCAACACCTGTGGTGCTAGTTTCATCTCACTATCATAGGTGTAAAAGTCATGAAAATATAACGCATAGGCTTCAGCACATTAACCACCAAAATACAAATCCTACTGCACCTTGACAGCAAGCACAACCTAAACTCCATCCTCTGATGTAGGTTATTGCACAGGTCCCAGGTACTGTAGGAAGTGCTACAATCCCACCTTCATGCTGCTGTGGCACCATCCTCTGGCACCCATGGAAATAAGACACGCCACGCTTGAGTCTCTACCTACCACCAGTCTCTAACTTCCATGACATGACAGAGTAGGTAGAAGCACTAATTTCAAGGATAACACAGAAGTGGAAAGCGCAGGCCAAAAAATTAGTAAAGCACGCATGCTATAAAGCAAAAAAAGAACCCATGTCAAACCCTATTTGAGAACTTGCTAATATCAGAGACCAAATCCTTAGCATACTCAAGACCTTTCCATCTTTTCCAAACAGGACTCCATTTCTCACTCTTGAGGCTGAGGAAGTGCTACCAAGGGTTAAATAGCAGCCCTTCATTCTCACAACGTATGCAAAAGAAATTGCTAAATCCTGGATTATTTAGGATAGAAAGCAATAATCCTTCCTTTTGTGAACCTATAATCTGTTGCCATAGAAATAGGTGCAAAAAAAAAAAAAAATCAGAAGTTTCCAACCTGCTGGATGAAAAAGAAGAAAAAAAAAAAGGGGTCATTTGAGGCAAGAACATGTAGGTAGGGTGCTAATTTTCTAGTAATTAGGCAGGACTTTAAAAACAAAAAACAAGTACTGCATTTGGAAAGACTCTCAGATACGGATTTAATGACTTTGGAACTATATATACCTTGACTGAATTCAGGCAGCAGCTGAACATAATAAGCTAGAGCACACATTGCTTCTGAAGTCAGACATTCTGTTATGAGAAGACAGACAATGCAAAACCCATACAAGCATTTACCATGTGCTCAATCCCTTGCAAAACACTAGTTTATAATGTGACACGGTATTAACTTGAATTAGCTTCACTGGACAAAGAACCACCCTGCAAAATAAAACCTGAGCAGCAAGAAGTGATTGAAGTACTTACTGCATAGAGAGATTCCATTAACAGCTGACTTGCTGTGCTAACTCAATATGTAGCCTGCACACCCAAAAAAGCTAGAGAAGATTCCCAGGTTTGGACAAATTGTTTTGCAGGTAGAAGATCTTTGCTTAAGACAACACTGGGGGCACATACCTGGAGTAAACTCAGTTATGAGATCAACACCTAAATGTCTGATACTGCTCAGACAATATGACAAAATGTTCCTTTGTGAGAGGCTATCAGACTCCTTTATTTCGCTAACAAGCTTTCTGTCCTGTACGTAGTGCTTGCAAAAATCAGACTGCAGGTATACCCATTGACAAACACTGTTTAGCAACTAGTTTGTGTGTCTCTCATGTAACACAAGAAGGAACTTATGTTCCTTCCAACTCCCAACACTCTCCACTATTCCTCATTTATACATAAATTTAAGGTCACGCTTAAATCCACACTTTTAATGGATCGCCAGAACAAGTCTCCCTGATAAGTGCAGGTCAAATCAGTTACCTGATAATAATAAACTGGATTTCTAAATAGTTTCATTTACGTCTATTCCCCTCCTCCTTTACTGCTAGGTCAGAAAATGAAGATGCTTGGTTTTCCATATTCTTAAAAGAGGCCACAGGTGGATGTGCAGTTCTTCGCTGGGCTACCCTCATCCTCTGCCAAGGATTAAAAGAAAAAACAATTCTCCATTAAAAGTATTTAAAGCAACACTCTTCATTCTGGCACAACTGGATTACAAAGCAGTTATACAAACAGTTATGCCAGCAAATCCAAAGAAAAAACACACTAGGAAGAGAAGCTCTTTTACACAGATCAGTGTTGATCAGAACAACATCTGATGGCAGTTTGACGTAACCAAGCTGCCAAAGTATAGAGCAAGCCCACGGCACAGTATGGTCAGCATGACTGCGTTAACAGGAGCTCACTGGACCTGATACCCTGTTCAGCTCAGTCAGGGAAGCAGCTCACTGAGCTGCCATAATTCCAAGTTGTGCTCATGTCCATCACCTGTCAATAAAGGGGTCTGCCAGGGTGGACCCAATGCTAAACCCCATTTTCCAACGTGAGAAAAACACTCCACAGCTGTCTAGATTCCAGCAGGCGAGCTATATCATAGATGCATTTGCTCAGAACTAGCAGTTGTAGACAGGGTTGAAGATTCAGCCACAAGACCGGATTTCTAGTACAGTGTCATAGGTTATAATGCAGCCTATCCATTCCCAAGAGCCAGACTTAGTGTCCTCTTAACAGGGAAAAAAGGTGCCCGGTGGACCTAGGCAGGGACACAGACCCACAGTCATAACCACCTCCTGTGCTGTCCCCCTCAAAGGCTGTCTTCTGCGGAACGGCAGCTTTAGGGAGGTAGCAACTTTTAATACTCTGGAGAATACCGGCCATCAGGACAGGATCCTCCAGAAAAGGTGCCTCTTTTTGCCATCTCAGTATCTGTGACAGGCTTCTCAACTAAATGAACCAGCTGCATGGCAGTTCCCGACTTCCTACCGGCCTCTTTTAGAGTGAGTGACGGCTTATCTTGACTTTACTTGCAGAAGGAGCAGCCTCTGCCATCACTGACCCAAAGAGTCCCAAGAAAGAGATCCTCACGGGGTGCTCTACAGTGGTACTGACAAGAAGTCAGCAGCTAACAATCAGGAGGGGCACCGAAGATGAAGGAAGCGTGGCTACAGCTGCTGGTCTGAACTCAGCAACCCGACTTCCAACAACATGTAACAAACAAGTAGCCAAGCTGTGATCTCAAAGACAGACCACAAAATATCAGTTTTCCTATCTGGCCCAAACTCTTAAGGAGTTTCCGTGCATATCTGGACATCAAATCTTTTTTCTCCCTGATACAAAAAGCACAGTCTTAGATGCTGGCACAGTTACAGTAGTGTAACTCCACATACTGACAGTTATTCCAGAACTACTTTCCACTAGGTTGTTCTAATATATTTTATTTCCCCTTCTGTAGAGGATGGTAAAGGCATCTTGCTAGATATGTAAGCGCACTCATGCTGAAAATGGAGCAAAGCAGGGCTGTATCATAACATTAACACCAAAGTCAAAGGCAGATATTCATGTGTTTAGATCAGTCCCTTATAAAGCTGTCCTCCTTGATGACTTTGGAAGATTCATTTAACTGAGGCAAAGTAAGAAATGAGGTAATACCAGAATAGTATTGAGAAACACAAATATGTAGCCCCAAAGAATTATCAAGGTCACCTCCTGAAAATATTTACAGCTCGCCAGCAGTTTTCAAGGACTCGGGAAGAAATGCTTTCCATTCCAGAGACCTTTTGATGAACTTGAGCAAAACAAATCAAATCTCTTCCCTCAAAAGAGACATGTTAGCCTCAACTGGGTCAAAGAAATGCTGCCTGCTTCACTGGGGATTGCTTTAGGCCACTAGTACTTCTTAGCTGTGCTAAATATGCCA